GGAGGCCCGAATGGAGCGTCCAGGGAGCAGGAGGTCTGAATGAGGCGTCCAGGGAGCAGGACACCTGAATGGGGCGTCCAGGGAGCAGGAGGCCCAAATGGGGCTTTCAGGGAGCAGGAGGCCTGAATGGGGCATCCAGGGAGCAGGAGGTCCGAATGAGGCGTCCAGGGAGCAGGAGGCCCAAATGGGGCATCCAGGGAGCAGGAGGCCCAAATGGGGCGTCCAGGGAGCAGGAGGCCTGAATGGGGCATCCAGGGAGCACGAGGCTTCCTTGTGATATGAAATTCAGCTGATTATAAACATCTGGCTTTAACATGGACTATTAAGGCCAAATTTACAACAAACTCCTTTTAGAAATAATTTTTATTGTGTATATTTGAGGTTTATAATGTGAAGTTATGGGAGCTACGTATAGATAGCAAAGTGGTTACAATAGTGAAGTAAATTAGCATACCTGTCATCTCCCATAAGCTAAAATCTACTTATTTAACCAAAATCCCTCACACAGTACGACTGTATTAACTGTAGTCTTCATGTCTATGTCAGATCTCTAGGTCTGTTCACACCTATCTGCCGCTTTGTACCCTTGGACCAACATCTCTCCCCCTTTCCTTTTCCGCCACCCCACCCCTCTCCTTGCAGGAAGTCAGTTTCATTGTCTGTCCCTGCGAACTTGAGCTCTTCTTTAAAATAATAAAACGTCCTACATGTGAGTGAGACCACACAGCACTTTTCTTTCTGCACTTTTCTTACTTCACTGAGCGCAATGTTCTTCAGGCTCTCCTGCAAATGTCAGGATCCCCTTCTTTTTTGAGTCTGGAATCTATTCCATTTGCGTGTTATCACATTTTCTCTATCCATTTGTCTGTTGATAGGCATTTATCAGGTATCTTACTATGCATAATGTGCACTTTTTTCTTGTAATTTTGAGAGAAAAATAAGGACACCCATGATACATAGGTAATATGGCTCTGGACTGGGGGAGCCCAGTGGGCCTCCTAGGGCTCCGCACCTTCCCTCCCAGACCTGCCAGGCACGTGGGGGCTCCAGTCTGGGAGGATCCAGTACCTGGGGGGAGTTGGCAGGAGCACACTGTCAGTCACCACACTCAGGGGGAGAGGCAGCGGTAGGGCTGCTGAGGCAGGCTGCAGCTCTGCAGGGTAAGGCCTAAGGCTTAGCTGCGCGGAGGGTCCAGGAGCCTTGCACAAGTCCGGGGGCCCACCTAGCTGCTCCTGGCCTAAGAAACCTCAGAAGCTCCCACCCTGGTGGCCACATGTGTGGCCATCTTGACTGCAGCCCCCAACGTGTCAAGGAAGGAAGGGCACACAGGAGAGAGGGAAGGGGCAGCCTTCACAGAGGGGGCAGTGTGGGAGGGCAGTGTGGGAGGGCAGTGCAACCCGCATGTTTACCAGGGGAGCAGAGCCCCTGCAAATGTGTCTCTCCTGGCCAAGAGCCAGCCGCCTCTCAAGGAGTGTTTTCCTGACAGTTTTGACCAAAAATGTGGGTGCACATTATACACAAGAATGCACTATCCGTGGCAAAATGCAATGGGTTTACTGCTAATTCTTAGAGTCTGATCTAACTCTGCAGAGGACACAGGAAGGTGCCATTCCCAAAGACTTTATGGTCTCAATCTAAAATTTCACTCAGTCATGGGCCACCAGTGGAAGATTTGTGTCAGTAAGATGTGCTGGAGGAAGCAATGGCTTTGTTGTTGTTGTTGTTGTTGTTGCTGTTTTTGGCCAGGGCCAGCTTTGAACCTACCACCTCCGGTTTATGGGGCCAGCGCCCTACTCCTCAAGCCACAGGTGCTGCCCAGGAAGCAACGGCTTTTGCTGCAGTGTGACCTGGGTTTCAACCTAGGAACTTCCACTCAGAGCTGCTCACCAGCTGTTCATTCTAACAACCAACACCTGCATAGAACTTCCTCTATGGAAGCCTGGATGGAGCCTGCTTTTCCATCCACAAGCTTTCCCTGCTAGGTGTTATGGAATCAAAACCTTATAGAACAGCTGTCTGCTAAGGACCTCAGGGAGTTGGCACATACATCTCCCAAATCTCTCACCCTCATGGGGGGATTACTCCCAGATTTACCCACGGTGGGAACTGGTTAACAAAACATCCTGTCTTAACCATTCTCCCGTTCAATCTCTCTTTCCTACCCCTCACCGGAGCTTCCTTCACGTCCCAAATACACCCCTTGTATTTGAGTGCTTGCCTCACAGTTTTCGTCTGCCAAAACTCAAATTAAGACAAGAAGAAATATTAACACCCACCGTGAAGAGAAGCCATGAGGACTAAAGGACTTGTCTTCAGTGAAACCCTCCAGATCTGAAAAAAATGGACCCTTGGCCAATATGGGTCTGAACTGTCCACGTGTATGTGGATTTTCATTCCCTCTGCTTCCTCGGGGACAGCAGGACTAATAACCTCTTCCTCGTTCTCCTCAGCCCTTTCACCAGGGAGACCGTGAGCATGACCCTTACAATCTATTTCCACTTAACAAATAGTAAATGCATTTTCTCTTCCTTGTTGATTTCTTAATATATTTTCTTTTCTATTAGTTTGCTGCATTGTAAAACTGCAGTATGTAATACATATAGTGTACAAAAGTATGCTAATCAACTCTTTATGCAATTCATAAGGCTTTTGGTCAACAGTAGGCTATGCATAGTGGAGTTTGGGGGGAGTCAAAAGTTATACACATGGGGGCAGCTCCTGTACCCCCGTGTTGATGGTTACTGCATTAAGTAACCATCACCCACCATCATCTTCTCAGTATATTTTACCAGCAAATTTTTCCAAAAGTCTTTCACTTACACCACTTTTATAAGTACCGATGCCTAACATGCAAAAAATTGGACAAAGGGATTCTTGGGCTTGTGGAAGACCACTACTGTTCTTCAATAACTTGCTGTTCTTCTTCAAGTAAGTTGATCCTTTTGAATATTTCTTTGCTAGATTTGAAATTTAGTTCAATTTATTTTCTATGCCCTCAAGAGAAATGCCTTCCTGAAATAATATATATTTATATAGCCAGAATTTTTTTTGACAATTGCCTTATCTAATGTTTTATGAGTCTTCATAGAATACAAAGGACAGAGCACAAAATTGTAATATAAGGGTCCTCTAAGTTTATTTTGGATAAGGAAAATAGTCTGAGGTGAAGAAGAATAGTAGGGCTCAGTTTGTAATCTGTGACTTAGTTTGGGCCTGTGGCTACAGAGTATACTCAGAGCCCAGTCAATGGTGACATAAAATTCCCATGCTGTGGGCCACAAAATGGAGCAAGAGACAGGCTGTCATCAAATCCATTTCCACTGCTGACAAAACAACCAGAAAGCAACGATGTTGGTTCTATGTGATCCACTGGATGATCTGGGAACAAAACCAGAACCAAAGCTATAAGCTACTCTTTCCTGGCAATAATGGTATACCTAGTATCCAAAGAGCAAAGGTTTTAACTTAATCAGAATATCCTGACGCTGTTAGGATTGACACTGAAGTCTACAGTTCATAGGTTTATTCTTAAAGTTTGTTCACACATGCTTACTTTTCATATCAGTGTATGATGGGTAAAATGATGTATTAAAATTGCTGTGTGAAAAATCTTTTAATAATAATAAGGTAAGCAAGTTCTAAATACCTCAGTTTCACAGTTAACAAAACCGTAGTATGAAGTTGATGTAAGGGATATTAATTGCTGCAGAGAAGTGATTCAAAATTTACAGATTAAAGCATGACCTTTTATTTGCATATTCATTTATTGGCGACTTTAGCAATTATTGTAACTATTAGCATCTTGCAACTAATGTAATCAGGCAGAAGGGGTAATTTAGTATTCTATAAAAAACCTTAAGCAAACAAAGTCCTGGAAAAACTAAAGAAGACACATAAAAGCCAATGGTTTGCAAAGCAGGCTCCAGACCAGCAGCATCAAGGAAATCTGAGTATCACCTGGAAACTTGTCAGAAATGCCAGTTCTCAGGCATCATCCTAGTCCTCCTGAATGAGTGACTCTACAGCCCTTTGTGTTGTAACAGGCTGTCCAGATGATTCGATGTATTACTTGACAACCATGTTTTTGTTGTCAACTTGACAACCATGACAAGATGGAGAATAAAGGAAGATTTTTTTTTAAGAGGTGTCAATTAAAAAAAAAATTCACTCCCATTCAG